GTCTTAACTTACTGGATTGGAACTGGGAGCAATCTCGAACACGGATACGGCCAGGTGAACATCCTTGACACAAACTACGACCAGATATACACTATCTGTCCCAATTTGACCTTGACAACAACCATGGGCCAGTCAACGGGATGTGGCCTTGATCTGCACGAGTCCCTCCTGACGACGCGTGGTACCATTATTTGTACCGCTGTGAATGTTACTACAGCAGACTTGACCTCAGTTGGGGGACCCCAGGTTGGATGGGTGTACGACAATCTTTTCCTTGAAATTAACATCAAGACCAACGATATCTTGTTTGTATGGAGTGCCCTTGCATCAGGCATCCCTATCAATTCGACCAAACAAGCGCTATCATCGGCGGGTACTTCGCAATCGAATCCCTTTGATTGGTTCCATATGAACTCCGTAACTACATTGAATGATGGCTATCTTGCCAACTCGCGGCACGCCTGGTCTTCGTATGCCTTGGATTCAAACGGACGTGTCAAATGGACACTTGAGGGGTCCAATGGTGGAGATTTTGCCTTGCCTACAGTGGCTAACTTTGTAAGTCTTGGCTATCTTTATGATGCGCATCCCACTCAGCCCATTACCCACTTGGTTCTTCAACAGTCGAATACTTACACTTCAGTAGTCTTGGCAGCATCATGTTCGAGTGGAGAAAGAGACTTCGAGTTCCCTTTCACTGCACTTGTACAACGACATGAATGCATCAGGCGACATACCTTCAAATGGCCTACTACTATACCTGGATCTTGAAAACTATAAAGTTACCCTGAAAAGTCTCTACATGGACCCGACTCAGAAGATAGCCTCTACCTCCCAAGGCTCCTATCAGCAGTTGTCCAATGACAACGTGCTCCTCGGGTACGGGAACCAGGACTACTTCAAAGAGTTTAGCCCTGATGGAGATGTTGTTATGAGTATCTCAGGCCTAAGTTCGTATCGTGTCTATCGACAGGCTTGGGATGCTTCACCAGCAGGATACTCGCCAAACGTCACCGCTATGCAGGGTCAGGGCTGGGTCAGTTGGAATGGCGATACAAAGACGACTAAGTGGGCTATTTATGCTGGCAGCTCGAACGATTCACTATCGCTGGTTGCTGAAGTAGCACGTATTGGCTTTCAGACTCAGTTCAATCTGTCGAGTAGTGCCGCCTGGGTGCAGGTGGGGGCGTTTGCTGGAGAACTCCATTTGAAAAACTCGAGTGTTGTGGCGGTTAGTGGTTGAACCGCAAGCATTGAAGACTAATTGATCTCTGGTAATATATAGCCCATTTAATTGTTCAGAGTTAACTTATGGAATGATTTGTACAATTTTCTCTGACTCGATGGTTAAGTTTGTTTTTACTATGTAGTTTTCTGGCAAGTGCAATGGCCCCATACCAAAACCTAAAAGCAGAACGGACAAATCGTAAGACTATGTCGTATAAGTCAATACAGGCTACCTGTATGAACCAATAACGCATGTCTCATAGAATCTCGCAAATTCTGCTTTTGTCCCTTCAGGTTCTTGCGGGCTGCTTCTAGAATTATTGCGGTGATTCTCGGGCGCCTTCGAATGAGTATAGCAGATTTTTGTGCAGTATACAAAACGCATTCGAAGTAAAAGATGACCCCATTGCGCTCTATATTGAATGTAGTAGCATCTGCTATTGGGCTCTGGGGCGCTAGTGCTACCTTTGATGTTAAAGAGCTCGAGAGATTTATTCAATAAGCTATTGAAGTAAACACAAAACATGGCAAAAGGGACCCAGGTTTAGTTTCGCTTAAGAAAGATAATGGGGTCAATTAGTGCGGTAGAGCTTGTAAAGTGTGAGCGGAGCGCTTTATAACTTGATAAGCAGACAACCAATTTTGCCTCTCAATTACTAGCTTCGCCGCTTTCACCTATTAAGATATCACCAAGCTTGCGATCTCTGGTTCGTCATAAAATCGTCGAGAACTGCTTGATATGGTAAACTTGTTGTGCAACCTCGGCAGCACCTACTTTTTCCCCTCCTATCGATATCGAAGGACAGACATATCTTGATGGCGGGTTGACAAACAACAGCCCTGTTTATATTGTACACGAGAAAGCACAACGTCTCTACTAGCTGAAGAACCAATCTTGGTTAGAATCGGAACGGGTGACGCACCTATGGAAGAGTTTGGGAAAACTTGGTCTAGGTCGTGAAAGCCTTAAAACCGTCGCGACTCAGATCGATGAAACAGCCATTACCTTTCTCGAGAGCAATTCAGCGAAGCAATGACGAAAAATTGCAAATACTTCAGAATCAACGTTTCGGATATGGGAATGATTGGCCTCGGAGAATGGAGAGTGACAGGAAAAATCACAACAGCCACCGAGCAGTGAGTTGTTACTTGACCTAGTCGCACAGCCAATCAGCAATCAATAGCCATGTTGTGCAGAAGTGGCCTAGCCATATTTTGACTGCGCCCAAGCATAGCCACAGATGACTCATGCGAGAAAGACCTTGCCCGACAGCTGGCGGCTAGCAATGTGCTGAACTGTTGCTACTATAGCAGGCCTAGCCCTTAAACGTCTCACACGCCTCTAAAACTAAAGATAGAGATGGGATAGGAGTAGGCGTAGCAGTCTACAACCCAAACCAAGAAGAAATCTATCTAGAGACAAAGAATATAGGCGAGAACTAACTTGTCTATAACGGAGAGCTTGAAGGCATTACAATAGCCTTCAAATACGCGGCTAAAATAGCTTAAAAATACTAAAATATCTACGTTTACGCTGATAACTAAGCTGCTATCTATAAACTCTAGAGCCTATTAGATAAGCCTAGCTAGCAGTGGGTAATTTAGTGCTAAAAAGCTACTAAAGCTATTCTAAATAGAAAAGCAAAGATCTTCTTAAAATAGGCGCTAGGCCACATAGATATAGAAGGAAACGAAAAAGTAGATTACTTAGTAAAGGAAGCTATAAAATAAACACTAAAAGAATTAAAAATAAGCCTAGCTTTTATAGGCACTAAGATTAAGCTTCTCTAAAGAGCTAGCTAAGTAGAAAAGTAGAGAAAATATAGGGAGAAAGTAAGAGAAAAGAAGACTAGCTACGGAGCTATGTTTAATCTTAAGCTTAAAAACTAACTAATAATCCTAAGAGGCACTAAAAGAGAGATTTTAAGCTCTTTCTATTCTCTTAAGATAGGGCACAGATACTTTAATATCTATCTAAAGAGAGTAAAAAGAAGAGAAATAGAACTCTATAAATGCGGAAGACTATAAATAGTAGAGTATCTACTTCTATACTGCGGTTTCTATAGCGTAGAGAGAAACTAACTTAAAAAGACTCTTAGCTAGAAAGTACTTAAACTACTACTCTTACTCTATACTATAAGCGGTATAAAAGCTACTCTAGCTTTTATTACTAGCACGAGAGTAGAAATAAGAAAGTAGCATCTAGGCTAAGAAGGCTAGAAAGAAGAAAAGAAGAAAAGAAGAAAAGAAGAAAAATAAAGAACAAATTTGATTTTACTAGCACTATTTCCCATCCCCTAAGAGAGCTCGCTAGAAGGCAGCCTAGCTGCTCTATATCTCTCCCTATTACTAAACTGCTCTTTAGTACTAGGCGTCTAGAAAGCTAGTACTAGCTTAACTAGATAAAGGCCGAAGCACTATAGTCACGTAATACAGCACAAAGTACCAAATTGTAACTACTTAGATAGAACGGCCTTTGGCCAAAGTCCTACATAGCCAACGGCTGATACAGGACTATAATGGAATAATAATAATAATAGCCCTTAAACGTCTGTAGTCACGCACCGCTACTGATATCCCAGATCTCGATAGTGTGATTGGAGGACCCCTTGGCAAAAGCCACATGCCAGATGATGCAATTTTTTCGCGTACCTGGGGCCGCCGAGGACGAAGTGGTCACCTCCAAAGACTCCGGAGAGCGGACAGGCGAGGATAAGGCAGGTTACCGAAAGCTTACCTTCTGTGCAAAATAAGCTTTGCTGGATGGATTGCAATAATTTCTGGGTGAAAACCTGCTGCATTGATAGAGCAAGCAGCGCGGAACTCTCAGAAGCAATGGATTTTATGCCTTGGTGGTACAAGGATGTAAAAAGATGCTACGTATGCTTGGCTGACGTGACAAGCAATATGTTCGACCGAAACCCGATGTACTTGTGAAGATGGAAACGAGCACTTAAGAAGAAGAAATGGTTCACTCGAGGTTGGACGCTACAATAACTGCTAACACCTAGTAACATGATTTTCTATGGTCGAGACTGCAAAGTGCTAGGCACGCGCGTTGGATATTGAGGATAACAGTAATTGACGTGGAGGCAGTTGAAGAAAGCACGCATAGAATAATCGACAAACTTAATCCTTCGGCATTGCAAAGCGAATGTCATGGGCATCGCATCGGTCAATAACACTTGCGGAGGACATGGCATGTTGTCTACTGGGAATATTCAACATCGACATGCCGCTGCTTTATGGGTAACGGAAGCAGGATTTCGTTTGCCTCTAGAAATATATATGGACAAAACCGCTGTCATGGCTGCATTCTCGCCTGGGGTTTAGATAGTGAAACACGTTTCCAGCAGATTCCTGATTTTGACCACTCTTCTACTCATGATCCTATCCTAGCAAGCTTGCCGGCACGCTGTTGCTTAATAGACATGAGTAAGTCTGATTGGAGCAGTGTCATTCGCTTGGCTTTGAAAATGCTTGGCGTGGCGTTGAGATCTTTCTATTTCCAGGCTCTCTTGTGACGTGACAGACCCCAACCATAACATGAAAGCGGCAAATTATGTCGACCACCACCTGAGAATGCATTCAAAGCACAGTCATTAAATCGCGTTGCAGAAAAGGAATATGGAAGGCGGTCAAGTGCTAAAGCTCTTTTCCATCTACACAATCTCTAACCAAAATTCTGTACTATACGCAGAGTATAAGGACTTGGACGATGTGCTAAGTGTCACGATCTACATCCAGTCACTCGAATACGACCCTTTCATGTGCTAAACCTCATTGGAGATGTACGGCAAAGTTTTCTGCGAGCCTTCAACTTCAGGAAAATAGCCTAACGCACATTCCTCAAACGCAACCTTAGGCTGTGAAGCATAAAAACCCTCATACTTCGGATTCATCGCATCTCCCAGCCTTTTTACGTCGCCGCGTGGATGCAATATCTCCCACGGCTTCACGCAGACTTGGCCTTTGCAAGATTTGAGCACCATCAGGAGTGCATCAAGGCGAGGTTGAAGACGACCAACAGTGTAGTTGCCGACTGCGCCAGTCGCGTTCCATAGATTTTTCATATGGCCAGGATCTGTCTGTCAAGGTGTTAGAATCAAGTCCAGAGTGAAAGGTCAGATATCCACCAACCTTCATGTCATACAACTCGTGCTCATTGGTGCACCACACGATGCACGCAATATCGTAATCATCTCCCACGACATGCAGGTCTTTGTAAGTGTTGTTCAGATTTATCCCACCCGCGTATATTCCTTCACCAAAATTGTTACCCCAAAACTCTATATTTATATGTTCGGTTTTCGCACATGTAAGTTGACTCGGTTTGACGGGCACAGGGGCTCCATCGAATTGCTTCAGTAGGGGAATGCCGGCAAGGTCAAATAGTGTAGGTACAATGTCTGTATGTGAGGTTGGAGAAGTAACCACTTCGCCTTTCGGTACTCCTGTTCCGCGAATGAACATGGGAACGTTTACATCTTCTTCATATGCGCATGAATTTTCTAGAGCCAGACGGTGCTGGCCAATAGGGAAGCCGTTATCGCTTGTGTATATGATGTATATATTATTCATGAGGCCAAAGGATTCCAGCCGCTCGAACATCGCATCAACATGGTCATCGACAGATGCTAGGGCAGCAAGACGAAGCCGGTAGAACTCGTCATTGTAAGTGACTACGGCGTCGTTTTACTGCTTTAGCTTTCTAACGTAGCTCCCACCGCTCACCTATAGTACGTCAATAATGTTCGATCTCTGATCTGTGTACTCACATTATCTGGATTGAAATTATCAGTCCGGGGCACTTTGACACCGTGATACAGATCCTTGTGTCACTATGCTGATACAGGTGGTTCAAAAACCGGCAGTCCACCAGGAATTGTGGACAAGATTGTTTGTGTGTGTGGGACTATGGGCATGACACCAAGAAAAAATGGAGCTTTTGCTGCAGCAGCTTCTTCCAGGAACTCAATAGCTTTAGAAGATATGAGGTCTGTTGAGTAGTTGCCGGGATACCTCTGGGGTGGATCTTTGTTGCGCTGCATAGTTGCATTATTGTAAACATATGTAAAGGGGTCAAGAAGGACTGCCATTGTTTAAGCTTCGTTGCAGCGACACATACAATGGAACTTACAATCCTATCCATTCCACCCTTTCGGAAAGGGGCTATTATAATTTCTAATGGAGTGCGCGTTCAAGAACTTCCCAGTATAATAGGTGTTGTATCCGGCCTGCTGCAACCAAACAGGAAGATAGCGACCATTATGTCCTTCCCGAATAGATTTTGGGTAGCCACCTGTGATCTGAATTGATTAAACTCTTCCTCCGTGGCAATTACCATACCGAATGGGGGTTGGATATCGGTGACATTGGTATTGTGATCGGCCGTGCCGGTCCATAGTGACACCCTCGAAGGAAAGCACTGTGCCATTGTGCAAAAATGTTTCTTAAAGAAAGTGCCGCCGGCAGCAAAATACTTCTGCACTGCTGGTTGATACTGCAACGAATCCAAGTGTAGATCCTGGTCGTCTGTCATGATCATAACAAAATCTGGCCTTTTCATTAGACTTGTGTTCCCATTCGCATGAACCACCACGGCCAAAAGGGCAACCCAGCTGAAAACAGTGAATGCAGCCATATTGATTATTGCCATGTCACCTCGAAAAAGGCGGCTTGGGTAGGATCTTTACATATAGGGCATGCTACTTATGTATCTCTACATTGAAAGCTCCACAGGAGAGCTGGACACACCAAAACGCTAGTGGATTATGACTGAAGATGAAGAAGGTTCGGAATGTGGAGAGAACCTAGCCGGATAGGGCTTTAGTACACTCACAACACCAACTTCGAGTTTATCAGAATAGGTATAATTTTATCTAAATATATACAAATCCATCCTAAGAAATTCATCTCAACTAGTGCGAAGTCGTGCAGCCCACGCGCTATAGTGCTAGAAGCTGGTAAAGTAGCTAATTGTAACGACGTTACAACTTCGCCAAGTATCGGACCAATCCCAGAGCCGGATCGGAGGTAGTACTCGGGCCCAATGGTTCGTTCCGAAAATTTCAAGAAATTGCCCGCGCGTTGCACGGGCCACCCACCCTAAGGGAAATACCCACCCCAAGGGCATCACTTAGATACAATATAATACTAATGTTGAAATAAGGAGGGTGCTACTTGTTCTATAGCTAGCTCAGAGGTATAGTAGTCTACTTGTCTAGCGATAGACTCAGAGGTAGCGAATCGATAGGTTCTAGGTGTTATGGGCGGAGAGGCCTAGCGAATGAGTATGCTTCTACCTATCGTACAGAAGCTAAAAGATAAGAAAAAGAGAAGATAACTAAGTACAGACTTCTCTTATACCTGCTCGCTTCTGATCACGTGTCCGTACAGAAGGTATATCACGTGGTCGAAGATCACGTGATCCTCTTCAGTAGAGATCACGGGCGCAGCCCTTTACAGAGCTTATAAATTAACTTTAGAGAGCTAAGTAGTTTATAAAGTTTAACGTTTAGAAAGAATTTTACTAAATTAGAATTAAAGAAGGTCACGAGTAAATAACAGCGTTTAAAACAAAGTACGGACTCTTTAAGTATATAGTTATGCCGTTTAGATTAACAAATACGCCGGCAACCTTTTAATTAGTTATTAATAACGCACTCTATAAATATCTTAGAATCTTTATTACTGCGTATCTAGATAATATACTAGTATACTTCAGCGGCACACGTAAAGAACATGTTAAGCATATTAAGAAGGTCCTATAAAAGCTTAAGAAATATAAGCTATATCTTTAACTAGAAAAGTATAAATTCTATATATAGAAAACAGAATTCCTTAGATTTATTATATTAACTAAAGGAGTAAAAATAAACCTAAAGAAGATACAGACTATATAGGAATAGCTAATACCTAAAATAGTTAAGAATATTTAATCCTTCTTAGGATTTGCGAATTATTATTAAAAGTTTATTAGAGATTATTTAAAGATTATAGCACCCCTTACGGAAGTAACAAAGAAGGAAATAGGTTTTAAATAGGAATAGGAATATTAAAAGGCTTTCGATCGAATTAAGCAGATATTCCTAGAGACGCTAGTACTTAAGATGTACAGCCCTTAACGACCTACTAGAGTCGAGACTAATACGTCTAACTATGCACTTAGAGCTGTATTATCATAGTAGTACCTAGATGAAAAATAGAGACTAGTGTTCTACTATTTATAGAAGTTCTCTAGAGTAGAACTTAACTATAATGTTTATAATAAGGAACTACTTAGAGTAGTTAATGCCTTTAAATAATAGGAAGTGTACCTACTAGAACTCCCTGAATAGATCGAGGTTTTTACTAATTACTAGAACTTGACGAGTTTTATAATAATAAAAAAACTTAACTAACGATAAGTATGATAGGTAGAGATGCTAGCTTAGTTCGACTTTAAGATTACGCACCGCGCAGGGACGCTTAATAGAGCAGCGAATGTAACGGCGCAGGCAAGACTACTCGGATCAGTATCGGCGGTAGTGTCACTCAGAGGCATATGGGAGTGCGTGGGACATCAAACGAGCCTTAATTCGAATAGACACCTATAGGCCTTGTACGAAAGGATATCAAAAATCTATCGAGCTACGGTATGGAGAAGGTGGGGTTTTATATCAGCAGATCTGCCCTCGGCTAGTGCGTGCCCATGTTCGGATCCCTTTCGGATGTTAGTTCAGTGTGTACTCGAACCGTTACACTACCCCCCCCTCTATTGACAGCTAGTCCCGTAGCTGTTGAAAAATTTTCAATGTTTGTTTGTTTGTCTGTTTGCTTGATGTCGTCATCCTTCTATGCAGGGTCTCGGCCAGGCCCCGAACAGCCTCCGGGCCAAGGAGAATCCACTCAGCACGTGATATTAAATCCGTTTGCTCACTGAGTATATTAACAGCACGCGTCCATACTTGCTGTCACCAAAACACCAAAAAAATTCTACTCCTCCCACACATATACATACACACATCATGCCGTTGCGTTGCCCTGCTGGCGCGCTTCCGGAGGCGTACCGCCTCATCTGTCTTCGTTCAGTTCGTGCCTTTGCGCGCGGAGTCCACAATGTGGACTACCGTTTCGGTGCCGCGGGGTCCAAGAAGTGCAATTATTGCACTCAGCAGAAGGAGAAGTGCTCCCCTGTAAGTTTTT